GCTGGGGGACAGGCCAGAGGCTCAGGGGCGGTGAGAGGCTTCACCAGAGACAGAGTGGGGAGCAGAACAGGCAGATTGACGAAGGACACTGCTGAGGGGAGCAGTGGGCGGGTCAGGAGAGGTCTGCCGTGCCCTGTGGGTCGCCTCCGGGGCAGGCGGGAATCGAACTCATGCTGCAGTGGCTTTAGCCTCTCAGTGCTGTGCTGTAACCCGCTGCGCCACCAGAGAGGCCCGCCATTCGCTTTTTAAGGTAGATTCAGATCACTTCCAGCACGGCCACGCCAGGTGACATTTCCACCCATGGTGTAACGGTTTCTCTTTCTCTGTGTCCTCTGGGGCTTTGCTGGGGCACCTGAGCTCACTAATGGCGACTCGACACCTGGGCAGGCCAGGGAACCCGGCTCCTGGCCCTCTCTCATCTCGCCCTTCTCGGCAGCCTGTTCTGGGGTCTGTCTGTGGGGCACGGGAGATCAGTTTCTCTGACCAGGACAGAGATTGAACTCAGGTGCGGTCACGTGGCAGGTTCCGCTTAAATGGAAACCTCCTTCCTGGGTAGGAGCGCGGCCTTGCCCGAGCTCTCCGCTTCTCTGTGCCCCGTGGCCTGGCCGTCTCGCCGACGGTGGCTGTGACTTGTGGTCGCCACGGCCCGCTCAGTGGTCCCGTGGCAACGTGGGGCCTTTGGGCTGCTCTGGGCTATCCAGCAGTTATGCTTCCAGAAGCCGGTTATATTGTGTCTCTGAATATTGCCGCTGGTCAAGTAAATGATTTTTGTGAAACCCACCTCAGCGTTACGTCTGACCAGTTGAGACTCCATCGGCAATGCCCCCACCTCTCCCTCCCTCTTTATTGCAGCCGATGGCGCTTCCTTCCAGGTCAACTCTCCCCATAGTTTATATTTTTAACACGGCCTCGGCTGAGCCGCGGCTGCAGACGTGTAGCGGGTCTGCTTCGACCTAGCGAGGTGCCCCCCGCCCGCGCTGAGCCGGGTCGTCTTCAGAACGAGTAACTCGGCCCCTCCTTACTCGCAGGCTGCTCCGAGCGACCCCCACTGCAGAGCGGGCCGCTTCTGCAGTCAGGGCACCGCCCTCAGGACTTCTGACAGACTGGTTGAAACCACCTTTTGTTTTCTCTTACTAAGCTCCCTTCTTTTCCCAGTGGGGCTCATGGGTCTCTCCTCAGGCTTCCATTTTACTTGCTGTGGAAGTGGCTGCCCTTCCCCACCACCCCGCCCTCCGCCTGCTGGCTGGGACCTTGTTTCACAGCCCAGATGCAACCTCTGAACCTGATGCTGCTTCCTGGCTCCCGGGGTGCACCACGCAGCTGTAGCCACGATCCCCACCTGCAGCACTTCCCTGCTGTGTGTGGGGGGGCAGCAGTGCTGGCCCCGGGTGTTTCTGGCAGCGGGTGCCAGTGACCTCGGGGAGACTGGGGGTTGGACTGTTCTAGATGGAGAGTCTTACAGGCATTGCAACCGATGAGCCTGGTTTGGCTCCTGGGTCAAATAAACCATGAAAAGACACAAAATCCGTGAGCTGTGCTCAGCTCTCAAAAAAAAAAGGCGAGCAGAGTCACTGCATGGTAACGGCAGTCTTGTTGGCTTCGGTTCGGGCGTGAGCGCAGTAGGTCTCTAGGCCAGCCAGCGAGGCGCCCACAGGCGTGCCGTGGCCACCGTCATCTCTTGAGAGTGTTTGGCAAAACAGCGCCTTTTGGCAGATTGCTAGTAAGCGTTGCTCGGGTGTGAGGTGTCCCCGGGGGTGCCGGTCAGCTGGGCGTGTGGGGCACACACAGCTCCGGTCACAGGTTTCCCGGTGTTGGGGGTCACACCGGACGCGTAGCTTTTTAATTTTCAGCCTTTGCAGCACCTTGGGGACACTTCAAGGAGGAGCTGTCTCCCGGGGTCCCCGCACCTGGTTCTCTAAAGGAGCTTTGTTGTTGCAGGCAGACATCTGGTCCCTGGGCATAACGGCCATAGAGCTCGCCAGAGGGGAGCCACCCCATTCGGAGCTGCACCCCATGAAGGTGTTATTCCTCATTCCAAAGAACAACCCCCCGACGCTGGAAGGGAACTACAGCAAGCCGCTCAAGGAGTTCGTGGAGGCCTGTCTGAACAAGGAGCCCAGCTTCGTGAGTTTCGCCAGTCTCAGTTTTACCAGTTGTCTTCATGGCCTCGGTTCTTTCCCTCTTTCTTTTAAATGGGTGTGATCCGTTGCTTTGAATTGCTGACTTCTTTGTATTGTGCTTGGTCTTGTTAGCAAAAAACTACCAATTTTCGTTCAGCTTTTTTAGCGTCTCCTATCTTTTTGAGCTTGGAGACTGCTCCCCTTAGTACTGTAGGTGGGAACGTTCAGTATTTACAGTGGAGGGTCAGGCTGTAGACGGTGAAGCTGTTTTTAGTAATCACAGTCTGGCCTGAAATATCACCGTGAAATATGTCTGTAAATGTTTTCGACTGCTTTTTGGCAAGTTAGGAAGGAATAGGCCAATAAAATACAAAGGCGCCACCCGCCTTCCCGCCCCCCTGCCTAAGGGCCGGGGGTCACCCGCCTTCCCGCCCCCCTGCCTAAGGGCCGGGGGTCACCCGCCTTCCCGCCCCCCTGCTTAGGGGCCGGGGGTCACCCGCCTTCCCGCCCTCCTGCTTAGGGGCGGGGGGCTGGGCGGTAGGGCCTGCAGAGCTTGGGCCTGGCCTCTGGCACCTGACGTCTTTGTGGTTGTTCACCTTGAGCTTAGGTGGTTTTTCCATCCTGGTTAGCTGAAGGCCAAGCCACTTCATTTTTGTGAACTTTTATCTGAAAATGGGTGATTTCACAATCGTTTCCTAATACGATGCCAGTCCCGGTCACATGGGGGATGCAGCACTTTCTCAGGACATCTGGGGGGGGCCCTGAAGCCCCCTGGCATCGCGTCAGCCCGCAGGCACCCGGCGCTGGGCAGCTGGGCCCATGGGCACCGCCGGGCTGCAGGCTTCGGTGCACCGCGGTAGCGCATCGGGCACTCTGGTCTCAGGTCCTGCACACCGGCGGGCTCAGCCTGCGCCAGGCCTTGACCTCAGGTGCCTGGGCACCCGGGCAGCCCTCTGTCAGGAGACATGAATCTGGGCCTCAGGGTTCATGGGTGGAGAGGGAGCGAGGGGCCTGAGGTGCCCGGCTCACAGGTTGGCTGAGAGACACCTGACCTGCGGGCTGCCGGGGCTGCGCTGTGCACACCCCGGCGCTGGCTCGGCCACGCTCTGGGGCCAGGCCCGGAGCGGCCGTGCCGGGCGTCGCCCCCTCACGGGGCAGGACGGGCCGGGAGCCCACACTTGGGAAAGCAGTTGCACAGAGGAGGCGGGCGGGCGGCCCTCGGCCCTCACCTCCCCCGGTGAACGCCCACCGCACTCTTTCTTGGGGTGCAAACGAACGTGCGTGGAGAGGCGACCGGCAAGACAGGACACAGGGTCCCTCCCGCCGTTCCTGCCGGGTCCCGGGGGCGTCTGCGAAGTCTCTGCCACGCGCTGCGTGAGCGGTCTCCCGGGGCAGCTTCCCCGCTGTGCCCGGACGCCTGCCCCCGCCCCCTGCCAAATGCCACCCGTGGGTGCCGTGATGATTCTCTGAGTTAGCTGGGGAGCCGGTCGGTGTGGCTGCCTGGGGTTGGAGGCGGCCGCCCCGGGGTGCCGCGGGGCCTGCGCCTCACGCCGATGGTTCTGTCGGCGGCTTTGTTCCCAGAGACCCACGGCCAAGGAGCTGCTGAAGCACAAGTTCATAATCCGCAACGCCAAGAAGACGTCCTACCTGACGGAGCTCATCGACAGGTATAAGAGGTGGAAGGCCGAGCAGAGCCACGAGGACTCCAGCTCCGAGGACTCGGACACGTAAGGCCGCCCCCGAGGCTTTGGGGTGCGCACGGGCGAGGGTGCATGTCGGGGGGTGCGCACGGGGTGTGAGTGTGCCCACGGGGGTGCACGTTGCGGTGTGAGTGCCCAGGGTGCTCCTGGTGGGGCTGTCCGGGGCCTTTAGCCCCAGACGTTCTCCCAGTTAAGCGGTGTGATCGGACCCCGCGTCTTAAAGAACTTGACTGGTTTCTGTTTCCCGCCTCATCCTTCTTGCTGTTAAAATACCGATCAGGTGAAACCGCTGCCTTAAAAGCGTTTTCAAAAGATCTCCCTGTATGGTTTTGTGATTCTGTATTGGTTCTGCTGGCTCTTGGCCCCGGACAAGCTGGGCACCGAGAGAGGCTTGTGAAAAGTGGTGTCAGATGACGCTGCGGGGAGTCCCGCCGTGAAAGAGATGTGTGCCGTCCAGCGGCCTTGTCTGCGGTGACCCCCAGCTCACAGGACAGCAGGGGCAGCCAGCTCGGAGGTCCCCTCAGTGTTGGCATGCCTTCTCCCCTTGACCTTGACCTCAAGGTGCTCACGGCCTGGTCCTCATGCCGGGCCAGCCGGATCGGGATTTCTGGGCTGTTGCAAGGTGCCCAGGTGATTCCACTGTAAAGCCAAGAGTGGGAGCCACTGAGAGATGAGGGGGTGCCGTGGGGGAGGGGGCTCTCAGGGCGGTCAGATAGGGCTGGCATTTGGGTAGAGGGGGCGGCGCTGCCCAGGCTTCAGCGGTGTGGCAGCTGATGCCATGAGAGCAGAGCCGGGGAAGCAGAGTTTGACAGGGGGCAGCATCAGGGGTGGGAGTCGGGTGCCGCCCCCGGGAGTGCCGCGGGAGTTAGAGCCGCCACTGTGGAAGGGCGTTGGCACCCTGAGAATGAAAGTGCCAGACCAGCTCTGCAGAGGGATGGGCTGGGCTGAGGACCATCACCTCACCAGGGTGAGGGATGGATGAGAGGGACGTGGTCAGCTGAGGGCGCCGTCAGGGCCAGGCCTTGTCGCGGCAGCTGGGCAGGCAGAGTGGGTTTCGGAGCGAGTGCGGGCTGTGAACTGCAACACGAGCGTGTGGTGCACCCAGGCTGGGGGGGTGGGTGGAAGAGGGGCTCCTGTCCCAGAGCAGCGGGGCTCTCGGGGATGGAGGCTCGTCCACACCGTGGTGGCCAGAGGGAGGGACAGGAGCTGCCTTGCGATGTCCTCTCTGAGGCTGGCGGGTGGTAGGGGGCGCTTTGGGGGGGCGGGGAGGCCGCAGCTGGCGGGGTGGACAGAGCCCGTTGGGGTGGCCGGCAGGTTTCCATGCCCGGGTGGGGCTGAGAGTGGAGATTCAGGGGCTCCTGTGCGTCTCCCGAAGTCTCGCCCCCTCACGGAGGCCACCGCATTTCTGTTCAGGGAGACGGACGCAGAAGGCCAGGCCTCCGGGGGCAGCGACTCTGGGGACTGGATTTTCACCATCCGCGAGAAGGATCCAAAGAACCTCGAGAACGGAGCTCTCCAGCCTTCAGACCTGGAGAGAAACAAGGTGTGTCCCCCACACCAGAGAGGCCGCCCCGCCATCCCGGCAGATTCCCCGAGACCCGCGGTGGGGCCTGCCACGGCGGGGTGTTGGCGCCCGCCGCCTGGGGGAGCTGGAGCCCTGCTGGCCTAGGGCTGCGGTCACCCGGGACCCCACCCCAGACCCCCCACCCCACCTGCAGGCTGCCAGCGCGCCCTCACACCGGCACGCACGGCCTCGCCTCGCGGGGTGAAGTTCCCGTGCAGCGTGACTTGGGGCCGTTTCGCCACGTGGGGGGCTCCTCGCATGAAGTCCCCGTTTTGGGATTCTTTGAAGCAGCTTAAGTAGATTGTTTGGCACTTACGGGAAACTTTATTTTGCCTAGCTGGGCTCGTGCCTGTTGAAGTTGACGAAAAGCCGCCTTTCAGGGTCGGTTTACAGCAAAGCAGCCGCCCACTGGCCGTCCTGTGCCAGCGCCCGCCCGCAGTCCCCGTGGGCATGACGTCCTCTGCGAGGCCGGGGCAGGAGGGGGCTGCTCGCGGGTGGGGCGGGGGGCCCGGGGGCGCCGAGGCCCCTGCCGCCCACTCTCCTGGAGCGCGCTCTTGCGGCTGTCACCGCCGACGGCACCGAGACAGCGTGCTGGGGCCGGGGGCTGTGGGGTTGCTGGCGTCGGGCTTGCCGAGCGCTCTGACGGCCCTTCTCTCCGCCCGCCAGGTGAAAGACATCCCAAAGAGGCCTTTCTCTCAGTGCTTATCGACAATTATTTCTCCTCTGTTTGCCGAGGTAAGACGCCCGTGGGACTGGTGGGGAGGCGAGGTGGGAAGGGGGGGCACAGAGCCGGGCACAGCTGTGACGGGGACCAGCAGTGTGGGGGCTCGGGACTGGCAGGCGGGGTACGCCCAAGGGGCCTGCCACAGACGCCGTCAGGGCGGCCCGGGGGCCCGCGCCACAGGCTGGCCCCTTCCCTGGAGCGGCCTCGGGCGTGGGTGCCGGGGGGCAGGCGCGGGCCAGGCGCCCTGCGCAGGCTGCGTTTGAGGGGCGTCGGACTCGACCACGCGGCAGCTCGCCAGCGTCTTGAGGGCAGCCGTGGCTCCCGCGAGGAGCTGATAAGCTTTAGCTGGAGGCTGAAATGGACCAAGGAAACAGCCCCCCAGCTTGGGATAGCTGCTGGCGGCCCCCGCTCTCCCGCAGGGAGGAGCCCCAGGGCCCGGCAGGAGGCACTGAGCCCCGGGCACCCCGTGCTCACCCCCATCACACGCTCTTCGTGTGCTTTCAGTTGAAAGAGAAGAGCCAGGCCTGCGGAGGCAATCTGGGCTCCATAGAGGAGCTGCGAGGGGCCATCTACCTGGCCGAGGAGGCCTGCCCCGGCATCTCGGACACCATGGTGGCCCAGCTGGTGCAGCGGCTCCAGAGGTAACGGCTCCTGTGTGCGCCGCGGTGACGGCGGCCCCCGGGTGTCGGGCCTTTGTCGTCGGCACCCCCAGGCCTGGGGTGAAGCAGGACCGCGGCAGACCCAGCAGGAGCGGGCAGGGGTCTGGCTCTTCTGGCCGGCGAGGGCCCAAGGCTGCCGCGTCTGCAGCACGCCCTCCAGCCCAGCCTGCTCTCGTGATGCAGCCTCTTGCTTACCCCCGGGAGCTCTGCTGACCGTCCCTTCAGCTCCATGCTCTCAGGCCAAGTGTCCAGAAGTGCGCAGACTCGCTGGGCAGCGCCGTGGGCAGGGCTGGGGATGCTGGGTGCTGAGCTGGCTCGACTGTCTCGAGCCCGGAGCCTTGCGGGGACAGTGTCCCCAGACCTCCTTGGGAGTTTCCTCGGGAGGGCGCACCTGGACTGACCTTCAGTTAAAGCGCAGCAGCATGGGGTGAGCCACCTCTCGGCCCCCAGTGCTCCTCCACTCCCCCAGCCCTCGTCACTCCCAGACAGACAGCGGGGTGTCTTGGGGACCTGCCCCCGGGGGCATGTGGGGTCCCTCTGGCCGCTTCCTGCTACCCTGTGGTGAGTGCCTCAAGGGGAGTGTCGAAGCCCCCATTCCTCACACGGGCCACGCTGCTGGCTCAGACCCGGCCCTCAGCTCCAGGCTGCAGGGAGCAGTTGCCTTGGCCGCCTTCTGCTCGGGGGAGCAGGACGTCAGTGGTTACCTTCTCCCCATCTCGGTGCTGAGGGCTCAGGAGTAAGGGGCAGAGGGCGCGTGTCCCTGTGCCTGCCCCGTCCAGGGCGCCCAGCGCACTCCCGTTGGACTCTGAGTCCGTGCACCGGCTTTTCCTCCGTCACTCAACAGCCCACGTTGCTGATTTCTCAAAGGAAAAGCCCAGCGCGGTGCATTTCTGCCTCCCCCAGTGGCGTTCACGCCTCACAGGCAACGCGGCTGACCCAGGCGGGCAGAGCTGAGCAGAGCCGTGCGCTGTCGGCTGGGTTTTCTTTCCTGCCTCCGGGCTGTGTCTGCCCCCAACTTTCAGAAATTCTTCCCAGTGACTTGTGGGCCCGACGGGTCCCCCGAGTGGCTCCAGGGTCCGGTAGGACAGCACGAGCCCCGAGATTTCTGAAGCAGCCACAGCACGTGAAACAGTCGATGAAATCCTGTGACTCTGCCCCTCTACCCAGACTGCCTCCGTCTCAGCACCTGAGCAAGACACCGGTGTCTGCAGGTTGCCACACCGGGCTCCACGCCGGGCCTGCCGTGGCCTCACGCTCGGCAGCTCGTGTCTGCGTGGACACGGTGCACGCCCGCCGGTCACCCCACAGCGTGGGGGGCCCCCTGCCGTCTCCACTTTACTGGCCAGGACGGCTGGGGCGCACCCGCCTTCTCTGGTCTGCAGCCCCTTCTCCCTGAGGGGAGCCCCTCTCCTCCCTGGCCACCCTCCTGGCCTCCTGCACCCCTTACCTGGGTCCTTACCTGGCCCCTGGGGCGTCCGCTAGCCCCGGGGCTCCCGCAGCACTTGCGGGCCCCCATCAGAAGCCACCACCGAGGCCGGGTGCCGGGACTCGGGGTCTGCTTTTCTCCCTGTCTTGGTTGGGGTGGCCTCAGCCTTTGGGGAGGGGCTGGGGGGTGTGGCCGGTCCGCCGGCTCCCGTCGCAGGCAGCTGTACATCCTGCCGTGGTTCTCAGAAGCGGTTCAACTGGACAAGTACCGGGGGTTTGGGGGGGGGGGGGTTCCTGCGCTCATGCCGTCTGTCCCCCCCAACCCAGCTGTGTCACGGTACGGGCGACTTTTTACTCTTGACTGTATGGATAGTTGTGTTGGAACTAGGATCCTCTTTAGACTTCGTGACTTCAAGGAACCCGTGTGAGGTTCGCTCCGCTTTCTGTGGCCTTTTCCGTGTCTGTGGCCACGAGGATGGGGCGGTCGTGGGGTCTTCGCACTGGGGGTAGAGCACTGGCACTCACGTTCTTGTGTCTCTCTCTGTTTTTTCCTAGATATTCTCTAAGTGGTGGAGGAACTTCATCCCACTGAAATTCCTTTGCATTTGGGGTTTTGATTTTCCTTTTTTCTTTTCGCCTCCCGCCTTTTTAAAAGTCAACGAGAGCCTTGGCGACTCCGCTGAAGAGGCAGGGCGTGCGCGGGGCCGACCCCTGCCGGGAGCCTGGGTCCCCCCGCCCCCGCCGGCCGAGGCCAGATGACGTCCGCAGGCCGAGTGGCCCGGGAGGCTTGGTCCCTCGAAGCGATCGTTTTATTATCCTTGTTTTTAATTTTAACCATAGTGCACATATCAAGGAAAGTGTCTTTAAAAAACAAAAGCAAACCCTGAAATGTATATTTGGGATCACGATCAGGCAACTGAAGAACCGAAACCTCAGGTACCCTGCTTTAAGGTGGCCCCCGGGAGGTGGCACGCGCTGGTGGAGCTGTACAGATTGTATATAGCGTCATTTTTACGGAGCCCTCTCGGCGTGCGTGAGGACCACGGTGTACAAACTGGCCGAGCGCTTCTGTAGATACCGTCGGTGGAGTAAATATTTGACAGGCCGTGACTGGAGTCTTATCGCCTTGCCTTTATTACCTGTAAATTTTGAATCATGTGACCAGTGATTGGGTTTATTTTGTATCCGCAGGGTTTACCATTCCTAATAATCAGTGTCCCCTCCGGCACACTCCTGTCTGTACCTCAGCCATGCACATCCCCCCCGCTCCGCAGCCCTTTCGGTACACTCAGAAGTCGGTCTCCTCCCCCTGGATGGTACTGTTTCTTCGTGTTTTCAATTGGAACATATCTCGCCTCATGAAGCTTTAAATTATTGTTTCGAGGTCCCCGCCAACGACGGGCCGTCGTCCAGCGTTCTGTCCAGAGCCGTGCCCTCCCCTCCAGCCCCCCACCCCCGTCTGTCCGAACCATTTTTTTGTCGCGCCTCGTAGTGAGATCTGCGTGTCATCTTGCCCACCTAAAAGTGTCTGAAATGCTTACACGAATAAATTTTGTAACACACTCACTCCGCATGCTTCCTTGAAGCAGGTCGAGGCCGCGTGTGCACGCTCGGGTGTGCGGGGCGTGCCTGCAGGCCACAGCCCGTCCGTGCTGCGGAGAGGGCGTTGCAGGGCGCTGCCCGGCCCTCGGTGGAGCCTGCTGTTCTCAGAGCAGCCCTCCGGTCGCCCGTCCCCAGGGGCCTGTTTCTTGCCCGTGCTGGGGTCCCGCGTGGCCAGGTGGGCCTTCCTGCGGCCAGGTGCGAACCCGCCGTCTGTGCGTCTGTCCGTGGCCTGGCCGAGGGGACGGGGTCCTGCGGACGGTGCGCCGGGCGCACCGAAGGGTGGGGCGCGCCCCTGTGTTTGTGGGGGCCGTTCGTAGCTGCGGTGCAGCACCGGTCTCGGGAGAAGGCAGAGGGCTTGGAAAGCGAGGACGGGACTGGGCAGGTGGGGTCAGCCTGGACACCCCGCGAGTGCCGGTGTGGTCGAGGCGTGTCAACGGAGGCTCATTTTCTACTCTTAAATGTCTTTTTCCTTTGCAACCGGAGTAGATTTGGGTGGAATGGCTCACTTCGCTCGTGGAGCCGCTTTTGGTGGGCGGCTGGCACGGGACAGCTCCCTCCTGCCGCCCGTGGTGTGGGCTGGAGTCCGAGTGCGGTCACCCGTCCCGGCGGTGTGCTCTGCGTGGGGGCGGGAGGGAGGACCAGGGCGCCGCGGAGCAATGTGGCCTGCCGTGATCCTGAGAGCAGCTCCCTGGCCCAGGCTTCAGCCGGCCCCAGCGGGCAGCAGCGTGAGGACTAGGCCCAGAAGCCCGTCTCCCCGCGAGGGTCCTGCAGACACGGCCGCCGCTGGCCCCGGACCATCTCGCAGGTTGGCAGAGGTCACAGCAGACTTCCGGGCGTGTCGGAAACGTGTCGTGTGGCTCTGGCTTCCTGGGCGGAGGGGGGGACTGGTGATTGCCGCCTCCCGCTGTCACTTTGGTTTAGCCTTTCTCTGTTGCTGTGTAAAGAGCGTCGTGCTTCACTAAGGCGCCCTGTCCCCTCGCGTCCAGTCTGCTCAAGCAAGCCTGGTGCCTGCCTCAGTAGTGACCCGTGCCGGTGGCCAGGAGGCCCATGGGCTCAGTCTTTGGAGGGTGAGGTGGGGTGGGGCTTAACTGGTGCCCCCAAGCCCCTGGGTCCGAGCCTGTGGGTAAGGGCTTGTCTCCCAGGGGCGTCGAGTAAGCCTCGTAGGGGAGGCTTCTCCAGAGGCAGGGGGCTGACTGGTGGTTTCTCTCTGAGTCCCTCTTTCCCCACCTGTGGCACTGAGGGAGACCACCCCCGTGTGCCATGACCCCCACCCCCGAACTCCAACTGTGGGGGTCTCGGTGGAACCAAGGGCCACGTAACCGCCCAGGCTGATTGTCTTGATCTCAAGATCTCAAGCTGGCCTTGCGATGAGTCTGACTCAGTTCTTTGTTGTAGCGTTTTGTACTTTTCATTTTGGCAGAAACACCTGGTCTGTTTTATTAGCTTTTTTTTTTTTTTTTGATTTATTTGTGCATACAGAACTGGGGTACAGGCCAGAGGCTCAGGGGTGGTGAGAGGCTTCCCCAGAGACAGAGTGGGGAGCAGAACAGGCAGATCGTCGAAGTACACTGCTGAGGGGAGCAGCGGGCGGGTCAGGAGAGGTCTGCCACGCCATGTGGTCACCTCTGGGGCAGGCGCCTCCGGGGCAGGCGGGGATCGAACTCATGCGGAAGCGGCTTTAGCTTCTCAGTGCTGTGCTTCAACCCGCTGCGCCACCAGGGAGGGCCTGTTTTATTAGCTTTTTGTATATTCTCTTAAGAATATGGCTTCTGTATTTTGGCTGTGAACTATGGCAAAAATCACAGTAACGGGCAGGCTGTGTCGTGGCGCACGGGCCCAGTCGCGTGCCGGCTCGATAAAATTAACAGAACAGTGGCTTTTTGGTAATGTCATGTCATGTGTAGAAGGGACCATAGGCGGGGTTTCTGTTTGTGATGACCCCCAAGCTTAGGTGATGGAGGCAGGGGGCATTCAGGATGAGGTGGTGAGAGGGGCCCCAGGCACGGGAGTTGAGCCATTGCGAAGACTGTACCCCCCCCCCCCCGTACCCCCCTTCCACTTCAGGACGCAGTTGCAGGGAGTGTCGCACCTGCGGCCTGGACTTCGGCCTCCAAACTGTGAGGTAAGTTTTCCTGTGAGTGCTCAGTCTGGGGGGGGGGGTCCTGCGGTCTGGGGGTCTCCGAAGCCCCATTTGTTCCTGGTGCCCCCTGCCCACACAACTAGGACTTGTCTTTTGCTGTCATGGAAACGGGTGCTGGCCACAGGCTGGCATGGCTGGGGGCCCCTCAGAAACGCGGGGAAGCTGCCCACCTCAGGCAACAGGGTTCAGTGACGCGATTCTGGGGAGTTACCCTGTACCCCAGCTGTGGGACAAGCCCTGCCATCCCTGCTGCACTGGGGGCCGCGGGCTTCTTGTGTCTCTCCCAGCTGCCTCACTGTCCGCACCCACCCCGCGGCCCCCTTTAGATGGAAAGAAAGACAAGAGACAGGTGGCTTGTTTTGCCTTTAAACTTCAATATGCTGGATTGTGGCGTGAGGTATTTTTATTCCCTTTTTGTTAGTACTTAAAACCATCTGGTACATATTGTAAGGCAAATGATTAACACATCTCAAGCTACTGGTCCATTGGTACATCGTTTCCATGGTCACCAGTCACAGCTGTCGGGGTCGCCCTGCGCCTCCCGGAGGGTCAGCGGCCTTCCCACGGAGGCCCAGGGCAGGAGGGGGGCGCCCCCCAGAAAGGCCTTGCGGGAGTATGCAGCACCAGCCACCGGGCCAGGGCCTCCCGGCCCCGCGGATACCAGCAGCCGCGCCCCTGCGGAGCCCGACGGCCACGATGTGCGGCCCCACGCACGGGGATGAGTTTAAAGAGGAGAAGGGAGGTTGCTCTGAACAGGCACGACATTCACTACTACTACGAGCCACGCCCCAGTGCGCTCACGGCCCTCCCTGGACGAACACCACAAACGGCCCTGCTCATTACTGACGTACAGGCTTCATGCTCGTGAAACAGACAGCAAAACACCACAGCTCAGTACCTGCCCACTGTCCACACCACGCACGGGGCGCCCGCTTCTCTCCACGGAAAGCCGCCCGCTACGGTTTGTAAATAGGAATCACGGACACAAATTTGGTCAACTTGCACCAGGAAGAGGGGTCTGCGGCCAGCGCCGGGCTGGAGCACGCACCTGCAGCGGAGTGTCGAAGTGCTTATGCGCCAAGGAAGTCAGTCCCGCTAGCCTAGTCGTTATAAAAGTAGAAAGATTGAAAAAAACGAAATCGGAAAATGATCTCATTTGCTGTAAGACTGTGCCAGGTGCGTGGCAAACACTGGAAAGTCCTTTTTTTTTTTTTTTTTTTTTTAAATGCAGCAGCCTATAAATCAAAGTAAGAAGTCTCTTTAAGAAAAACGGAGCACTTGCCCTGTCTGGCTGGGGTGACGGTCGTGCCTGCACGGCTCGGGGGGCCCGGCCGCGCCCCTGTCACTTGGCACTCGATCGAGGACGACGTTTTAACACTGGCACAAGCTAAAAAACGGCTGGCCGCAGGGGGCCTGGCTGCGGACCCCGGCGGTTTCCCAGACAGGCGTGCGTTGTACTAGGCCTCGTGACCGCACAGGGAAGGCGGCAGCATCCGGGGTGGGGGTGGGGCCGCCGCGCCGCGCCCCGAGTCAGTACGCGTGAGCCTCCTTGGGGATGGGCACGTGGGCGCGGGAGGCCGAGCACGTGGCACTTCGGATCACCTCCATCCACCTGCAACGAGAGCGCGTGGTGACGCCCGCCTCTGCTGGCCACGGGGCAGCCTGTGTTCGCAGAGCTGCGTCTTTCACCTTTGAGGATTTGGGGGCAGAGGTACCTGGCATGGCCACAGCAGAGATGGCTGGAGCAGGTAGAGGCCCAGAGTGCTGCTGAACATCGTACCGTCTGCACAGGCTGGACCCCAAACCTCGTGGTCTCCTGGCATGGACTTGAGAAGGGCTAGGGGGCCCCTACCTCCCCAAAGCCCCTAATCACAGGTCTTTTCAGTGGCGAGAGCCTCACGTGGAAGAAGTAGCTCTCAAGAGCCGACCAGAGAATGTCCAGCTCCTGGGGCGTCATGGGAGACAGCCCCTGTCCACAGAACAGACTCCGCTCAGAAGTGGCCTGCGGGGTCGGTACCAGCGAGGCCTGTGTGCAGCCCTGGCAGGAGAGAACCCCTCACTGGGGGTGGCAGCCCCCCTCCTCCATGGTGGTCAGTGACTCGTACCCAGACAGCAGTTCTGGGGCCCAGAGTTTCTACTTGAAACTCCAGCCTGGTAGCCGGCTCTGTCCACTTCCCCTTCATGGCCACAGCTGCTCACCGGAGCCCAGTCACAGAGACTGCAGCTGCCCCGCACTGGGGGCAGGAGCTGACACCAGCAGCTTTGAGGGGCCCGGCCCACCTCGCTGACCCGACGTGGACGCAGCCCCAGAGCTTCATCCACGCACTGTGTGAGAGGAGGCGCCTCTCGGCCGGGCACTCACCTCTCGAAGGTGTATTCGCTCTCGGCTCTGAAGTAGTACACGTGGGACTTGAAATGCAGCTTGAACACATAATCTTTGTGGATCTCCTCCGACTCCGAGGGAATGGTGAGCGAGTACCCGAGCAGAGGCAGGCTGGCGAGGGGGTGATTGTCCTGGGGGGGGGCAGATGCCGGTGAGCCCAGGCCACCCTGTCCCTCCAGTGGTGCAAGACCCCCCCCTCCTGAGGTGGCTGCTCAGCCCATGGGGTGCTGAGGGTCTTCACCGCAGCAGGACCCGTCAACACCGACAGGTGATTCAAGGGGGGTGGGGGGGGCCCCCTTCCCTGCCAGGCTCTCACCTGGTGCGACTTGTAGAAGAACAGGCAGAAGTTGGTGAACACCACCCACAGCTTCTGCCACCCGTTACTGTTTTTGAATTTCCTCAGCAGGTTCCCCGACAGCTGATTCTGAAAGACAAATAGGCCTGTGAGGACAGGAACCCGGCTGGGGGTACCCCCAGTGCTGCTGTGATGGACAACAGTAAAGAGAGACCCTTGAGTGTGCCGACCATCGGGCTGAGCTGTGTCCCGTTGAAATCCCAGCCTCGGGGGGCCTTACTTGGTGCCCTCGGTTAAGAGGCGGCTCGGGGACGGACACCCGAGCGAGGCACCGCCCTGAGTGGTGCTGCTTGGCCCAGACCTCCAGGACCTGCGCAGGGTCCCGGCTCCTCGCCGCCCTCTAGCGGCCCTGGCAGGAGGCTGCGCGCTGGCCCTCGGGGAGAGGAGTCAGGGTGGGCTCGGAAAGGCCTCTGGGCTGCGGCAGCTGGGGAGGTCACAGCCCCGGACGTGACTGCTGCTGAACTGTTCACGTAACGAAGCTGTTTGCTAAGTGGGCAGAGCTGCCTCAGTAAAATCGCTTGGAATCATCCCTGAGTCGACTTTCTGCCGCCCTCCTCGGTGCTTTCTGAAAGTGCCCGCTGGGTGAGCTGGACGTGCCGCACCCTCCCCCACTCAGGGGCCAGGAATTGGGGCATCTCTGCACCTCCTCCACCCCACTAGTCCACAGAAAGCAAAGCCCTCTGTCCTGACACGGCTCTCGCCCAGTTCCGCTGCCAGTGGGTAGCTCAGTTCTGGGGGGCAGGGGTCAACCCCCAGAGTGCTTCCATGAGCCACCATGGCCTCTGCAGCCCTGCTTGCACACAGATCTCGGGGGCCTGGGGGGCCTCGTGCTAGCACATGGGTGTGGGTGCTGGCCCCAGCCCCCCCCAGGGCCCGCCGCCGCCCGCCTACCTCCACGGCCACGCTGAAGTCCACCATGGAGACGCTGGCGTTGCGATGCCAACACACGTGCACCATGGTGTTGCCACGGTGCGGGCCCTGGCGCTCCAGCGACGTGCGGGAGGCGCTCAGGTCGTCCTCCGACTCCTGGTCGGCCACCCCCGCCTCCTCGGGGGACTCTGGGGGGGACACGGGCTACAATGGGTCTCCGTTCACCACCCGGGGCCCTGGGCTGTCCCCTCCCTGCAGCAGAATGGGGTGGAAGGGGGGCGCCCAGGTCCAGCCTTGGGGAACACCGTGCACCGATCACCCTCTGCTTGGTCAGGGCCCACCCAAGGGAGCGCAGCCCTTCCGCCGGGCCCCTAGTGCCCCCAGGCCCAGGCCCAGTGCTCGCTGGGCAGTGGGCCGCCCCTGCTGTCACCCAGACGCTGGCGGATGACAGGTGTGGGGGCCCCTAAAGGTGACTCTCTGCTCCCTCACACTGTCTTAGGGCCGCTCTTTATGTGTTAGAAAATGGAAGTTGCTCTGAGCTAAGCTTAAGTTCAGCTTCAGACAGCGAGGCCCTGGGGCGCCCTCCACACTCACTGCTGTCGGGGGGGCTGCCGGCAAGGAACTCGGGCGTGGGGCCGCTGCTCTTCTCGGCCAGGTCGATGGCCATCTCAATGTCCTCCACCCACTTCTCCATCTCGGACTGAGAACTGAGGAGAGACGGGTGTCAGGTCTTGGGGCGCAGGCTGGAGGGGCGGGGGCAGAAGGTGGGGTTACCTGGCGGCCACGACGATGGACTGCCGATGGCCCCGGAGGGTAAGGCAGTGGGGGACGCCCCACTCGTCCTCGGTCTTCTCGATCTGCGGGGCAAGTGGTCATGGCGTCAACGAGAGGCCCGGTGCGGTCAGTGTCCACTGGGCCCGCTACAGCCCGGGCCACCGAGTGGCACAGGGTGGGGGGTCAGGAGCCACTGCTGAGGGGTAGCAGTCGGGTCCGAAGTTTGGGGGGTGAACAGAGCAGCACGCTGAGTGGTTCTGACGGAGCCCCCAAGCTTTCCTCTCTGGCGTGGGTCGGCTGCAGAAGTGTGCTGAGCACCTGCACACTGGGGGGGGCCCTGCTCCCCGCCTTCAACCCCTCAGCCCACTGTAAAGTGAGGGCTGGCTTCCAGGACCTTCCTCCGCGTGCTTCTAGAAGGAATGTGCCCACATGTCCATGCGCAGGAGAGGAAGCTGAGTCGGGGGCGCGGGGAGCCCCAAAGGCCCAGGTCTCCCGGGGCACCGGCTGGGCTCCCGCTGCCACGCCCTTCCCTCTCCCCCTTTCCTCTGTCCTTGGCACCGACCCGCCCCCCGCAGGCGTCCCGGGGCCCCGACTGGAGCCCCGACTACTCACCGTCATGCCGTACAGGGGGAGCTGCCCGTGCACCTTGAACTGGTTCGAGGCCGTCAGCCCCCGGCCCGTGTACAGCAGCACGTCGTTGAACTGGAGGACAAGGCCAGCGGCTCGTTAGAAACCACCCGGCGCGGGGGGGTTTCCACTGGCTGACCCCAACAGCGAGGCCGCGCCCCCGCCCACCGCCAGGTCCGCCGCCCCCGCCCCCGCGCCAGGACGCCCCGCCGGCCACTCACCAGGAAGAACATGCGCTGCTGCAGCCCCTTCCCCGAGAGCTTGCTGAGGCTGCCCAGGCGGATGAACTCCTGCAGGGACGCAGAGGCGGAGGCTCGGAGGGGGCCGCGCCCAGCCGCGGCCACTGGCCGCCCCTTGCGTGCTGCAGCTCTGCTGCTCGGCCATTGGGCCGCCAGGGCAGGACCCCGCGGAAGTTAGCGGGGTCCCCTGCGCCGCAGCGGCGGCAGGTTTGGTGGGGTGGCGCCGACTGGGGTCCCGGGCCGCTCAGCTCGGCCCTCAATGTCTTAAGGATCCCTGGCGGCCACAGCCTCCCTCCCCCGGCCAGAGCGCCGCGCCTTTGAGCCCTTCGTGAAAGCCACTCCGTGCAGCGCGACCCTGCTGCCAACGGATGTCTCTGCATGCGTGAGCATAAACTAAGGCCAGCGAGTGGGAATCGCCCGGCCCTTCCCCGGAGCTCGCTCGGGGGGCCCCTCCCTGTTTTATTGCAGGTTGAATTGAAAATAATAGAGGTGAAGCAGGCTGATGGGTCAGGGTTTGGAAGCCTGCTGCCAAGGGCCAGCATCCCCTTAATAAATAACAGTGGCCCCCACCTGACTCAGCAGGTGGCTGAACTGGGCACACCCACACGGGGCCGGAGTGCACACGGTCCCTGTGTTTCAGAAAAGGGGACCGAGCAGCAAAATGATTGAAGAAACTTGCCCGAGTGCCCCAGGCAGATGTGGGTGGCAGGGCCCGGTTGGCTGCCTTCGGGAATGATAGCTGTGACCCACAACCCGGTGAGAACCTGTTCTCGCTGCTTGGGGTGAGTGCAGGGGGCGGGGAGGGGAAGCCCTGATTGCTGTGTCTGCTTGACACAGCATCTCGTTAGATCCTTAGGACCCACAGGGCGAGGGGCGATTCCCCATGTTGCAGAAGGCAAAGAACATTCTAGTGGGTGGGAATGAACCCTGGCTCACCTTCCTGAGGTCGGACATGCTTTGCACGGTCACAGAAACCTTCCTTGAAGGAAGGAATTCCTTACAGTGCTGCGTGCCCTGTGGCACAACCTGCTAAATTTTTTTTTATTACAAAAGTTTATTTTTACATCATTTTGTACTTTTTTCCATCTCAATTGTAATCCCCGCGGGTTTCCCATCACCAAGTCACCCATGAGCCATCACCATAATCCCGTGCATTTCCCCCCCAACCCCGTTTTTGATCCCATTCCCCACTCCACCCCCACAGAATGTCTCTGGTATATGGTTGTTCATTATTTTTGTTATTTTCTCGCCTGGTCCATTATACTCCTGCTATGAGTGAAACCATCCGGTATTTTTCTTTCTCTTTCTGGCTTATCTCACTAAGCATGATCTTTTCCAGCTCCATCCAAGTTGCTGCTAAATATTTTACAACACCCCAAGTGAGGAGCTGACCCCTAGTCCACGCCTCCCGGGCCGTGGGGTTGAGTCAAGGTGGCGGCCATGTGCTCACGCCTAGGGGGTTTCTCACAGCAGTGTCCAGGGAAGCTGCAGTTTCAAGTGACACCGACAACCCAGACATACAGCGTCGGTCCCCACCTCCCCTGAGCTACGCAGGTTGAGTTTCCAGGGCAGTTGCCTCAGACAAGACTGAGCGGCCCCACAGACGGGACCCTTGACTGAAGGCGGTGGCAGGGATCAGAGGGGCTCGGTTGCTTCTGCAGCCGGTGGTGTAGACAGCCAAAGCTCAAACAGTGCAGGGGTCCCCATGTAACTTTCGACTCCCCCGAGACTTCGCTACCGGGAGCCTCTGCCATGGCGTTTGCTTACAGCCATCTCCACTGGCTTCGCCCTCGCATGGCCCCTTAGTGGGAGACTGCCACCTGCGTGGGGTCCATGCCTCCGTGACTCTTGGGGGGCACTTCCATGAGGGTCATCAAGTTTCTATGTATAAATTGTAGTATGATCTAAAACAATTTCCAACTTAGTTAATGAGACCAACCCACAGACTTGGACTCACTTAGTTCTAACCCATGTTCAAAGGTCAGCTGCACTCTGAAATGGGGGTGCCAGAGGAGACAGACCCCAGAGAGAGATGCAGCAAGTAGTCTGAGCCCCTGGCTGGGAGGGGGTGTGCGGGAGTGAGCTCTGCCCGCTGACGGTGCTGGGAGAGGTAAATCTGCCTCTCTCCAAGAAGCCCTCTCTGGCTAAAAGGCTATTTGAATTCCCAAGTAAAGTTGTGAGCAGAGAACGGCATCTTGGAGACACGCATTCTGTGCGCATGTCGCCCTGGCTGGAGGGCGGCCCCTTGGGAGGGGGACTGTCCCCAGGCTCACACAGCAGCCACTGAGAGGTCCATCTGGCTTCACATAAAGACACCCAGAACGGGGCTACTTACCCGCCCTGGAACCACAAGATTGTCGATGCCAATCAAATCCTTCTTGAGCTCATGTAGCTTCTGGAAATTCTCCATCTTGATCATCGTACTGTGAAGCTGGGCCACCATTTCCGTGATGTCTGCCAGGGCCGCTAATGGGGGACACAGGGTCTGAGCATAACAGTGAGCAGGGCTCTCCCCAAGGCGCCCCCCGCTCTGCTCTGCAGGGCGTTCACCCCCACTTCAGCCCCCCAAAGCTGTGCTGCCCTAGAAGCTGTCACTCCAAGGAAACAGGCTGTTGCTCAACTAGCCGGGTGATGGATGCACTTGGTTTGCTCTACTCCGTCTCCCCAAAGCATCCTGACACAGTGGAAGACCCCTCCCTGGCCACAGGGCACAGCCCTCTGCCACCAGGAAGCGGGAACATCAGGGCCTGGGACGGTCCCTGGGGAAGACCTTTTTCTACTCCTGCTATTACCTGGAAGAACAGCCAGTGAGCACCGAGTAGCCACAAAATATCTGGGGCAAAGAAGGGCTTCTTTGTGTGTGTGGGGGGCTCTCTACTGCCACCAGTCCCGGCCAGAGTGCGGTCAACAGGCCACGTGGGAACTGAGGGGGCAGCACAGGGTCAGGACCACTCGTGGCACAGGCTCGGCCTCAGGCCAGCGGACACGCACCACTGCCCCTTACCACTCTGATCCTCAGTTTTCTTGGCTGTAAAACGGGACAGCTCTTATCTCGCGGGTGGTTACAGGAGTAAAGGGGTGAGGTTAGCCGGGGGCGGGGCCAGTGCCTGGCCCTGGAGCTGGGTGCACACCACAGCACCCTGGGGTGGGGGTGGTCACGCACTGGGGCTCTGGGGGTTTGCTCTCCAGCTGCGCATAAATCAATCTTTTTAAGAAAAAGATGAAGCCTAAACACGGGGGAGGTGCTTGTGGCCAGGGCTGGGCGTGGCCAGGGCTGGGCGTGGCCAGTGCCCAGCAGCGGCATGCAGGAGTAGGACTGGTCATTTCCCTGTCTGGTCCCTGAGGGGACGGGCTGAGGTGAGTTGGGGGGGGGACATTCTGAGGGAGCTCCTCAGGGCTCTTGGCGCTGACCTCCCAGGACCAGACGGCGGGGACAGTGCATGTGGCAGGGAAGGAAAGGGGCAGGCCCCCCCCCCGCCCTCCCCTCCCCCGCTCACCTCGGCAGTCCCGGAAGTCGGCCTGGCCGGGCACCTGGTGCTTGCACAGCCGCTCCAGCACCTGCTTGTAGTGCATGAGCCGGTGCAGCGGGCGCAGGAGGAAGGTGTTGAGCGGCAGGTAGCACACCTTCTGCAGCTCAAAGTCCCTGCACAAGTTCTCAAGCCGCCGGGAGTTCCGGATGCTGGTCTCCAGCATCTCCAAGGCCTCGCTGTGCTTCCACAGGTGAGCCACCAGTTGCTGGGGGGAGAACATGGGGGGGCCGCTCAGGCGAAGGCGCGCCCCACCCAGCCTGACCCGGTGGCCCGCTCTGTCCAGGTGCGGAGCCACGTAGAAACCTGGGAGATTTAGGAGAGTGGGCGCGTCCCCTACACCCCGAGCCGCCTCGGAGGGGCCCCGGGACAGCCGCCTTGCTCCCGGGGCCGAGACGGCGGCTTTGCAGCCAGCGGCATCTGGGACCCGCCGCGCCCATGAGGTCCGGCTGCCTCCTACAAGATGAGCCCACCCTGGTGGCGCGGCACAGCACTGCCCAGCCGGCGACAGCCGCCGTGCATGTTCGATCCCCACCCCGGAGGTGACCACAGGGCGCATGGGGCAGACCTCTCCCGACCCGCTGCTCCCCTCAACCGTGTACTTGGTCAGTCGGCCTGTTCTGCTCCCCACTCTGTCTCCGGTGAAGCCTCTCACCGCCCCTGCCTCTGGCCTGTACCCCAGCTCTGTATGCACAAATAAATAAATAATTTTTTTTTAAATGAGCCCAGCAAAGCAGAGGCGACTCACAGAGCAGAAGCACCCCGAGATGACAGCACGCGACGACAGCGCGCGACGCCTCCTACCCTGCCGCCCGGGAGCTGGGCGAGGTGAGAGGAGCCAGCTCCACGGAGGCTGAGTAAGCGCCTTTGCTTGACTGGACTTTCTCCCGGCTCTGGGCCCTCTCCCGGGCCCAGCTGGGCATCCCTTGCAAACCCCGTTTTGGTGAGAACATGCTAAGTCAGTTTAACCAGAACCTCCCCCCGCTATCCCGTCACCCTCGAAACTGTGGCCCTCAGGTCCTCATCCCTCCACGCTCCACTCCCCTGCCCCCCCAGGTGCCTGAATACCCTGAGACCAGAGCCCCCGCCCCCATGACCCCCTCCTCCCCCCACCCCCTGCCCTGTCCTGTCCTTACACTGGCCTCAGTCTCACTGGTCTGCAGTTTTGGGGCTGAGCCCAGTCTCCCCCATTGCCGGGACCCCACACCTACACTGAGACCCAGATGGAGTCTGCCTCACCATCACTGACGAGACCCCTTCAATTTCCCCACCAACTCCCTCCATGTCACGATGGACAGACGCAGGCGTGGCGGCCCGTGAGGGCCGGAGAGGCAAGGCAAGGCCCTCTCTGTGCTTTCTGCCTCTGTCCACTTGGGCAGATGTTTCTAGCCGGAGCTTCCCAGCAAGGGCGAGAGCTCATGATCTGGGATCCGACTCAGACAGGGATCGGAGTCCCGGCCCGGAAGGCACCCTGGGGGTGCGTGTGGAGGCAGAGGGATGCGGACCCCAGCTCCCAGGGGACCGGATGTCCGTGGGGGGCAGTTCTGGTTAAGCTGGCTTAGCAGTGTTCTCGCCTGGGCTTCAGGCAGGGGTTGGCGCCCTCCGTCCCAGGAGGAGGGCCTGAACGGCCGGGATGAAGCTGGCGGACACACCCGCAGGTCCCTCAGCGTGCGGTCGGAGGTGCTCACCTGGGTTTTACATCTCTAGAACTTTCTGCTGCTCCCCTTTACACGTCATAAAAATTCTTTAAAACCCACACTAACAACCACAGTGAAAAAACAACTTTCAAAAGGCTTTTAGCCGCTCGCCAAGCCTCTCTATTTTTATTTTGCTCACACAGAGCTTCATGCTATAAATGCTCACGGCGTCAGTGCAGTAACTAAAATGCCAAATCATTAGACCAAGGAGAAAGAAGTGCCCTCAGCAGAAACCAGGTATATTTTTAGGAGCCTTGGGGGCTGGGTAACAGAGGGCCGGATGTCTGCCGAGAGTCACCTCCCCATGGGACGTGGCATAGTCCGGAGAGGACCCTGAGAGGCAGCTGGGACCCAGGCGGCCTCTGGGGACTGTCCCCAAGGACGGCAGAGCTGTTAGGTAGGAAGAGCTCCCAGGTGCCCCAGAAGAGTCAAGGCTCTTTCAGGGGAACAGAACAGGTGGGAGCCCTCATCACAGCTTCTCACCTGAGGGACCCCCCGGACAGGGCTGAGAAACCCCAAATGGGGCTGAGAAAAGGTGCAGGCGACAGGAAGGGGCTTTTATGGTTAGTGACGTGAACCTATCACGTGAGCGTGGGAAAGAGACAAGTGAGCGGTCACACGGCATATGACTCCGACACGATGGCATTCTGGAAAAGGCAAAACTAGGGAGGGACACACGAGTGGAGGCAGGCGTGGGGGTTGGGCGGAGGAGGGGGCGAGCACGGGGTGACCCCAGGACCCACGCCGGGCCCGGCCTGGGTCACGGTGGACGTGCGGTCAGGCGGACCCAGCATGTCCGACACCGGGAAGGACCCTACATTCAGGTTGGCTCACGCACCCGACATGCGTCGCAGGGGTTTGTCAAGCATGGTGTGTCCGTCTGGGCTTCCTGCTCCATGATTCTGTGAACCTCATATTGCTCTAACATACATCAGTGTTAACACAAGCATTACTACACCTGTTATAGCCAACAATTACATGTCAGCTTACCAAAGACGGAAAGTGAAACAACACACCGCTATATCTGAGCTAGGCCCTTCCGATGGCGTTTAAAACACTCAGGTTTTGGAACAGCTTGGATAAGCCTTGCCCCGCCCCCTTTTAATCATCCCGTCAGCCTCCGGGGCCTCTCTCCGATCTGGCCCCTTGAAGGGAGAGCTGCAGGGAGAGCTGCTTTGTGAACAATTGCGTGGCAATGCAGGTGAGAGGCAGGGTCTGCTGAGGCGGCCTTGGTCTTTGTTGAGGGGAGACGGGAGAGACTAGACTGGCAGGTGACCTCCTGGGAGCTGTAGATGCCAGCTTTCTGGGAACATCTCCTCAGCTGCCCCCAATCCTGCCTCAGTTCTAAGGGGACCAGGGAAGCACCCCGTAACTTGGCCATGTTCTCGGGAACTAATTCACCCCCTATGGTAACCTTTATTCTGCACGTGAGCAAGTGACCTTCAAAGGGGTTAGTACCTTGCTCTTAACTGGCCAGTTAAGAATATTACCCTGGACAGCTGAGCTACAGAAGATAAACCGTGCGAATCACAGCATTCCGTAGGAGAGAAATTTTTTTTTGCCACGAACACTTCAGGCAAAAGAAACGGGCAGATTTAAAGCAAGAGGCGAAACATCATCTCCCACACTGGGTTCTGCGGTCTGGGCGCCTCTCTGGTACCTTGGTGGGGTGGCTGGATGGTTACAAATACATGCACCGTGCCAGGACTTAGGTCACAGAATCAGCTGGAATTCCCACACACCTCCAAGCTTACCAAAGCCAAATCATTACAGGTAAAATATTCTTTGTTCCAAACGATGCTTTGCTCACATAATTTTTAAGCTTTAAGTGACCTGTCCACAGAAGACACCCACTGCTTGGTGACAACAGAGGCCTTTTGAAGAAGAAAAGTACTAACAGGTCTTTCCCCGAAGTGCATGGATTTTCCCTTAGGCTCCCCAGTAAAATCATCAGGGGGGCAGAGGCGTGCCCTGGCCGTGAGGTGAGCCCTGTGTTCGTGGGATCAGGGCCGCAGGCCTGGTGCCCAGCCAGCCCCCACTCACCTTCATGCCCTGGATGTTCTTCAACATGACGTCCCCGATTCTTTGGTAATCTTTGAGTTGGGTGTTGGATCGGCCTTCCCTGGGAGAAAGGCATAGCATTAGCCACGAGGCTGCGGGGTGACGTCTCCACCCCGGTCACACGGCATCACCCCCAGCTCCCCCCCCCCCCTCACAGCATCTCAGCGCCAGAAGTGGGCTTGGAAATGACCCCAGTCACCAGCAGACCAAGAACTCAATTTGTGTTTGAAGAGACAGGAACATTTTGTGATGTGTTTAGTCTAGTCTCATTTTCTCTTTCTTCCCTGTCCACGTGCAGCGTCTCAGTGACATGCAACCAGCAGACACTTGCAGCAGGACACCCATAAAACCCGTTCTGCCCCCCCCCACACACCAGTGAGGCGCAGACTCAGCCTCTAAGTCAAGGTTCCTGTTCCCAAGAGCCCTTAGGTTGAAACAAGGACATTGTGGGGAGTTCTTGGGAAGAGAAACTGTGACCGAGAAAGTGCAGGACTCACAGGCATGGGGTGGGGGGTTGGGGGGATGGACCGTGACCCCGAGGGCAGGACGGCTGTCCCAAGGCACAGAGGGGAGGGTCGGGAGCCCCAAACCCGCTGGCAAAGATGCGTGTGCTCCCCCGGAGCATCTGGGCTCACGCTCCTATTCCTCACAGCTCAGGGCTCTCGCTGACGCGCAGAGCACCTCCCTGTGGTGCAGGGGTTAACGCGCAGCACTACAGGGCTGTCTGCAACCCCTGCAGCAAGAGTTGGATCCCCGGCCAGGGAGCTGACCCACGGCAGAGGGAGAAACAGCAGCAGCCGGACCTTACCGAGCAGTCACGGGCTGGAGCACGCTCTTGCCTCCCCCGCCTGAGCCAGAGCGGCCTGATTCTGGCTCGGGGCCACATGTCAAGGCACCACTCCAGCTGGGTGTGTGGGTATGTGGCTCTGATCTGGTCCTGAAAAGTCACCCCCGAACTTTCAAAGGGTAGGCGGTTCGCGCTCAAAGAAAGGCGGCTGGTTCATTCAAAAGCGTGAAGTACATATTTTAGGGGGGAAAGGGGACCTCCAGCTTGCACAGGGAGCAAGGGGCTTCCTCCTCCTCCCAGATGAGGCTCCCACGGGGAGAGGAAGCAGGTCCCGCTGGCCTGACTTTCCTTCTCCGGCCGGCAACTCTTTATTAAAAGAAAATGCACTGGGCCCTCCCTGTGGTGCCAGGGGCTAACACGCAGCACTGTGAAGCTGTCTGCAGCCACTGCAGCACGAGTTCGATCCCCGGCCAGGGAGTGACCCACACGGCGCAGCAGACCTCTCCTGTCTCCCCGCTGCTCCCCTCAGCAGTGTGTTTCAGTGGATCTGCCTTTCTGCTCCCCACTCTGTCTCGGATGAATCCTCTTGCCCCCATTCCTCTGGCCAGTATTCTAGTTCTTCTGTGCATAAATAAATCTTTAAAAATAAATAAAACACACTGATTTAAACCCCACATTCAGGGGCACAGTCTCCCCTGCACTGGCTTGTAAAGCTAGAGCCCTCTGTCCTGCAAGTCTGTGATTTGAGAAAAGGCGCTGGTTAGAAACTGCTCACTGGCTCCCCATGCCAGACACACAAATGTAAAGGGGGCCCTGGTGAAGCTGGGGGGCTCAGAAGTGAATGCAACCTGTACAGGCAGTTCTGCCCACCCCCGCCGGCTTCTAGGACACTGAGCCGGTCCTTGGTAACAGGAACAAGACCCCAAGTCCTGCTGCCTCAAGCACAAACAGGAACACTATGAGGTTTCCCCTCCACGTTTTAATGCCACTAAATCCACAAATGCAAACCATCTGCTTTATCACGAAGAGCCAAAAGTCATTTATTATCGAGAACATGAAAAAGTAATTATGACTGTTCCGGAACATCCTCTGGATGTCAATATCACGAGGAAAGATCCTTGCTTGGGAGACGAAAGATCCTTGCTGGAAGTCGTGTGACAGTTCACACACACACACACACACACACACACACACACACACACACACACACACACACACACACACACAACTCTTCACCCACCACTATAACCAGTCAGCACGTCTCCGCAGATGGAGCAGAACAGGCCCCAAAGGCTGTGAGGTCAAAGGCCAGGCCCCCTGGGGGGGGGTTGACTAGCCACAGGACAGTCCACTGGGGGCGAAAGGGGACCCTGCACCCCGGCGGTGTCTCCGAGGGCCGAGAAACACTTTCACGGCAGGAGGTGCAGGTGGGCCACTGCGCCCCCATCCACCCCCGCCCCAGAGCTTACGTGATGCTCACGAGCGGATTTCCAGGGAGTAGATGACCTCGCTATAGAGACAGTCCCCTAGCCAGGTAAACCACGACACCCTCAGCAGGACACAGACCGGCTTCTGCAGGACCAGGAGCGCCCTCCCCAGACAGCAGGCAGGTGGGGCAGCCGCTGGCCGGGCAGTGACTCAACACCCAGCCTCCCCCCACCCGGGGGAGTGGAGGGGCGTCTCATTCGGCCAAGACACAAAAGCAAACCGAAGCTCAGAGCCAGAGGGGGCTCATCCAGCTGGTCAACCTGGGCATTCTGACCCCAGGAGGCCACCTGACCCTGAGTGTAAGAAACAGAACAATGTGTGATCAGTAAATCTGGGGACACAGACCACCTGGTAGCATGTGGGTTGGCGAGCTTCAAAAACACACTGGCCAGAGTAACAGATGATACAAATATATGCTGACATATAGCCACAAGTTTGTATACATTAACTATATTAAGACATATTTATAGATGTGTATCTGATGTCATTATACAGGAATCTTGTAATACAGTAATATTTACACATACATATTAAAAACGCTTCCACGTATGGGCCCTCCCTGGTGGCGCAGCGGGTTAAAGCACAGCACAAAGAAGCTTAAGCCACTTCTGTATGAGTTCGATCCCCGCCTGCCCCAAGGTGATCCACATGGAGCGGCAGACCTCTCCTGACCCGCCCGCTGCTCCCCTCAGCAGTGTATGTCCGTCGATCTGCCTGTTCTGCTCCCCACTCTGTCTCTGGTGAATCCTCTCACCTCCACATCTCTGGCCTGTACCCCAGTTCTGTACGAATAATCTTAAAAAAAAAAAAAAAAGGCATCCACGTACATGACGTATTTATGTTTCACCTATCATATGTGTACATTTCATGTACTAAACACACACTATAAGCATCTATAACAGACACACATGTGCTACATGTCGGCAAATGTAATGTGTGGATTCTGGTTTCCCTCGAGGGAGAACATGCAAGCACTGGAACACTGCCTGGAGTGACCACTAGAGGGCAGGAGTGCGTGGCGTCCCCAGGGCAGTTGCCTCCTCCAACTATCTGTTGGAGGAATCAAGCTTAGGGCTGAGGCCCAGAGGAGGGGCAGGAAGTTGTTCTCCTGTTACAAGTACAGGCTCTGAGGCTGCTTTTTGAGGACTTTCTTGTTAACTGTCAGCTCTAAAGCTTCCAGAACCACAGGAAGGGAGAGGGAGTGAGGGAGGGGGGGGGAGAGAGAGAGGAGAGAGCGCACATGTGAGCAAGCCAGACAGCCAGATTTCAAGGACCCATTGGTTTGGAACCCACTGAGCTTGCCAACAGCCCCCCCCCCCCCCGCATCATTTCCCAAGAACAATAATCACCTAATGGTGTCCATTAAAGATGAAGCAATACCAAACTCGAATAACTGCTGAGAACAGAAGACACGCACCAAATCCTAATGTAACAGGGTGGTCCCTAGGAAAAAGGGGAGTTCCAGGTTCCCTGCCCCACCCAGAAGGAGGGTGGAGCTGAGAAGAGAAGGGAGAAGGGAATGAAGCAGGATGGAGAACAAGACTGAGACCTGAGGAAGCCACGTGGAGCAGGGAGCATGTGATGAAGAAACCGGGCTTGTTTCCTGGCCCTGGACTGGTTAAGGCAGAGGTGGGTGAGAGACCCGTGGGGAGGTGACTCTGGCAGTGTTTATCTTGACTTTGATGTTGCTCTTTTCCTCCCAGACTTGTCTGGCCATTTCTGACCCTTTTCCATGGGTCCCGGCCAGAAGGTGCTTTAGTCTAGTGGCAGCTTTCAGGCCTTGCTTTGGGCCAGTCCCTTTTGGGGGGACTTTGCCCACGAGGGGACGGGTCACTTCAGGTGTTTGATTTAGAAGTTATATTCTTTGTGTTCCGTATTGTATATTTACTGTATATTTATGGCAGAACTCACTTAGAGCAGGCAGGTTTTGGGGCTTCAGGGGCCTCTCTCCTCCCCGTTCTTAACAGATTTGGGGTGCCCTATAATACTAAAGCCAACCCTCTTCCAAAATGGGAGGATAAAGATCAACACGGGATGAGAAGAGTGTGGCCTGTGGCGGTGCCAGAACTAAGGGGAGAAATCAAATACGTCCCAAAAGTGAGCAAAGATGTAAGAAAATAAATATTAAAAAAGAAACCCCCACGAGTGATTTGGTGATGGGAAACCCACGGGCATTACAACTGAGATGAAAAAAAAAAAGTACAGAATGATGTAAAAATAAACTATCATATAAAAAAAATACCCCCTCCGCATCCAGACACCATAGGGATGTGAAGTAAACAGAACTGAGGCTGCCCAGAAGTTCCTAAACTATCACACCTGGGCCAAAACCTGGCCGGCCGGACACACACAAGCGTCCCCATGTGTGGGGAGGGAGAAGCCACACAGCTGATACTGTCACGGGCGCCCGCCAGTCGTCTGCAGTTCACAAAAGTTAGTTGGAGGGAGGATACTTGCCTTTTCCCACTTGTCCTGCAGTAAAAACTCAGCTCTTTTTGCAAAGCTAAAGCAGGTGCAGACCAGTCCTGGCTGAAGCCCGAGGGCACCCCAGTGCTCACGGATCCCACGGGACAAGCACAGGGGCCATTTTGTGAAAAAAAGACTTATTTATTTATGCACACAGAACTGGAGTGCAGGCCAGAGGTGCAGGGGCCGTGAGAGGATTCACCAGAGACAGAGCGGGGAGCAGAACAAGCAGATGGACTGAAACACACTGCTGAGGGGAGCACCGGGTGGGCCAGGAGAGGTCTGCTTGCCACGTGGGTCACCTCCTGGGCGGGGACTGA